CTAAGTTTGATTTTCTTTTGTAGTTTAGTTAAGGTTATCAATGCACAACTTAGCTCAGATATCTATTTAGTTTATATTAATTTATATTCTATGAGCAACTGGGGACCTGGAGAGCTGCCGGGTCGATGGTTGTCTTGTGAAATCCCTAGGTGATTTCAGGTGGGAGGGAATGTTGTGGCTTCGGAACAGTCCCGATATAACATCCTTTTCCTAAGTGTTTCCTATCCTCCCGCCTCCCCCGTATACGCACTGCTCAGAATGGTGCGCCACCTATCGTAGAAAAAAAAAAAAAAAAGAGAAGCAAGATGGCCGCGCACGCATAAAACGTGTTCGTTACCGCTTGTTTAAAAATAACCAATAAATAAGTTGTAAGACTATCGTGCAATTGCTCGTGTCCATATACATTCGAAGTGCAGTGTGGTATCTGTGTATACACGAGAACTTCAGCCTAAATATACAGACTTCACCATAACAACGATGAGTGCTCCAGTCTTGTGAGTATCCTTACCTTATCTACCCAGTTCTAAAGCTATTTTCGTTTACTTCCCGGTTGGGATCATCGGGTTAGCCAGCCCTTGGTCTGGTTGTTCTCTGGTTCCCAAAACCACCCACGAAACACATTGCGAAACATTCAAGCCGTAACACTAACACTTATATTCATTCATTCATTTATTCATTCACGACATCGCATACACCTTTTCTTGATTTCCCTAACCGTTGGTCGCAGTCGAATAATGTGGTACTTTCTCCGTAATTCGTTGACTACTCGTTCTCTGTAGGTGTGGCTAGCGTCCTGGTGTGCCTTCTCCACGAGCATCTGTACGAACTGGTGTCTGCCGTCCAATATGACCGGTCGTTTCGTTTGATCCTTCACAGCGGCCGCGTCGATTCTACCTCTTGCTCTCAGTATTGCTTGTTCGATGACCAGGTCGAGCCTTTTTAGTGCGCTGCCATTGTGTAAGTCTCTTCCTTGGTGGAGCCGAGCGATGTCATCAGCAAAACTCTCTTGCTGACTCTGCGCTACCCAAAGCTGCTCTGCCTTTTCAATGTTTCTAACGTTAATTCCTTAGCTCGTCCTCGAAGCATATCGACGAACTGTATGACTCGTGCCGTAGCTCTGATTAGTCTCTCATACGAAGAGAATCTCGTTATGGCCGGTAGGTGTTGTGCTCCCTTTATTTCTCGCTGGTGCGCCACGATTTCCTCATATTTTTCGCCTGCCCTTTCTTCCGGTTGCTGTGGCCATTCTCCTTCTTCTTTATACAAGAAGTCCGGTCCGGTGAACCACTTATCGTTTGCGCTCTTTGTTACGTAATTCGCTCGCGTCGCTTCATCTGCTACGTTGTAAGCCGTTGGTACCCACTTTCATTGGTCGGGTGATGACTTTTCTCCAATCTCCCCGAGCCTATGTGCGGTTCAACCCGCGCGCGGAAGTCGTCTTAAGTCTTCTTATGCTCGATCAATAATTACTTCCGGTCGGCTAAAACATTGCTCTAACGTACGCATTACATCGGCTGGGTCCACGCGGTAAATAATAACGCGGAAACGGCTTCCCTAGCTTCACCACGTAAACATTTTCTTAACCGTGCCATACTTTCTGTATTAGTGAATCCGTACAACCTAGTGGATTCTTTCATCGCGGCTTTGAATGCTAACCATTCCGCGGGCGCACTGTTAAATATAGGCAGGTCCTGTGTTTGCTTCGCGGCGGCAGGCCTACACCTTACCATGCTCTCCAAAGCTTCCGCAAGCCGTTCGATTCCCCGGTCTTTCCCTCGCGGGGTGAGCGACCTATCTCTATCCCTATTCATCAATCGGTGCGGCGACACACGACAATTCGGGGATATATCGCGGTTATAAGGCGATCGTGGCCTATGTACATCGCGACGATACGGCGACGATAATTTACGTTCCTCGCGGCGATGTGGCGATGACGACCTGGCGACAACGTACTTGCGATAGATTGTGGCATTGGGCGCGTTTCGGCGACGTCACCCTTACATAGCAGTTCGATAGTTTTGATTCGGCGGCGGCTCCTAATATGTTCCTCTGCGCTGTGTGGTTACCGTGACGTGGCTAATCATCGTTCGCAACCGTCGTCCTCTGGGCGTCCTTACTATATACGGGTAGTGCAGCGTCATAATGGGTCCCCATTTCCGTTGGGGCTAACACTACTTCGACGCGGGGCGCGGGCTGAGACTGTCGGTGGGGCGGCTCCTCCCGCACAACCACTATGTTATCTAACCACTGATCCACACGGCTCCTATTTTCAATATTGTCGAGGCTTTCCCTATCGGTTTCTTCTAGTAACTGCGCAATGTCCCTAGCGTATTTCTTCTTGATTAAATCTTCCTGAATCTCTAACTGTTTTTTACGAATCGCGGCGAGCTCTTCTGCTGCGTTATATTCCAATTCATTCCAATTCATCGCGCTAGCTGTCGACCGGGCTGAACGAACTGACGGGGCGCGCGGTGCGGGCCTAGTGACAGCGTCAATTAATACGGGCGCGGCGAGATGCATCGTCATACTAAATTCTGTTGCCGGAACATCTTCTACAATCGCGACGAGTGTATCGATACGCGGCGCGTTTGTACTACTATCTAATTTTTCTGTTGTCAAACACGGACATAGTTAACGACTAATTGTTCTGTTTCTTACCGCGTTTACGCGGTCTGTCGAATACCATCTAACGGTACCAAGTGGTGTTCGTCTGGTAACGCCCCTTGGGGCAGGAACAAGCGTCTTTTGAAGACGATCGGAAGCCACAATGAAATATAGAAGGTGTAAATATTCTACAATTTGCGGATGATCTTGTAATATATTGTACAGACCATAATGTAGACAGAGCTGTAAGTAGTATAAATAATGCTTTGGACCAATTGTACATATATTATAATGACAGGTTTGCTCTACAGATTTACCCCAACAAAAGCAAGGCCATGATTTTTAGTAAAGTAATTCCCTCTAATGGCATACTCTACAATAATCATCCAATTTCAGTTGTACCTAACCATAAATTTTTGGGTGTTGTCATTGATAACAAACTTTATTTTGATTCACACATCTATCACATTATAACTAACTGTCTCATCGACTTAAATATTATAAGATGTTTAGCTGGTGTGACTTGGGGTGCAGACCCCAAAGTTTTAAGTATGCTATATAAATCTATAGTCAGAAGCCACTTCGACTACAGTTGTTTAGCCTACACAAATAGTAGTTGTGTAAAAAAACTAGACATAATTCAAAACAAAGTTCTGCGAATTATTACTAGGGCTATGTGTTATTTATGTTGTGTTATTAACTCCCATACGAGCTATGGAAGTTGAAACCAAAATAATACCACTGTGTCTTAGAAGACTTTTACTAATAGAGAGATACTTACTAAAGCTGTTATCTGGTAATGATAATGTTCTCAAAAAATAGTACCTAAACTGCAACTGTACAATCCTCGGCCCAGCAGACTTCGAAAGGTGAGCTTTTACGAGGTTATTTCCCAGTTTTGCCTCTCATTGTAATACAAATGAATGAAGATTTTAAAAATGTAATTAAGCAATCAAAGTGGACGTGCTACTCATACCCATATTCTTGTATTATATTTGAGACCATTAAATTTTTTTTTAATTACTTTTATTTTTCGACAATAACTATTAAACTTTGTATACAGATGGTTGCAAAAGTGAGCTCTTTGTGCGCAGTGCTGGTTATGATCCCCAATCCGAGATTGGTCAAACTTTTCTTCTGGACCCTAAATGCAGTGTTTTCACTGCAGAGGTATATGCGACCCTCGAGACCCTGAAGAATATCGCACATATAAATAGTTTTAATAATTTTTTAATTTTAACAGACAGTTTAAGTATGGTCCAAAGTTTAACCAATCTCAGATTTGATTATAAATAAACTATTTTTGTATAATATTAAAAAATTGTTATTTAGTTATGCACAAAAGGGTATACAGGTCTCTTTCATGAGGATCCCATCACATAGGGTCATAACAGGAAATGAGATAGTAGATAAAATTGCACGTGATGGAACCAACATGTTGGTTTTTAGCTCCACAGTAAAAGTACCTTTGACCGACTGTTATCAATATATTGACAACCAGGTCTAGCTTATGGATCGAATTTTGGAAACAAGACCAAGCACAGAAGGGTAAATGGTATGGAAATGTTCAAGCAAATCTGCCTGTAACACCATGGTATAACAAACTGAAAATGGCCAGTCGGGACTTTATTACGACTATAAACAGACTGCGTTTTGGTCACTCCACCGTCCCGGCCCCTGGCTCGGTTGGGCATAGTGGAGAGCAGCTACTGCATATACTGCAATAAATTTGTTGGTGATATCGAACATTTCATATGGAAATATATGTGAGTGCTTTTAATATGACAGATTGATTCTTGTCAGTGAAATTAGTGACATGTGCAAAATCAAGTGACAGTACAAGATCCCTCCCGCCGCCTGAGTCGTATGTTAAAAAATAGATCCTATTACGTGCCTCTATATAAATTTATCAAAAATACGGTGTGGAAATTATAATAAACCGAATAAAAATACTTAAGATTTGGCCTAAAGGACTTGATACCAGGCCTCCAAACTCCAAAAAATTTTTTTTAATTTCAATGATCACCGAACATCCCTAATTTAGTATACTAAAAGTGGGGGGTTTATATTTTTAGGGGGGGAGATGTTTGGGGTTGTAAGGTTGAATATTTTAGCACAAAAATAATTATTTTTTTGTTAAAAATTTATTTTTTTTTATAAATTAATTTATTTTATAAAATAAAGGATTATGAGGAAAATATCGCTTTGGGTTCTTTATTTTTCATTGTCTTTGATCAATGTCAATGTCAATTTCAAGTTCCCGCTTGAAGGTCCTTTAGTTTGAAATTTCAAATAAGTGCATATCAAAGTAATTATTGTGTTTTGATTTCATATTATCCTTGAATAAAATTCAACAATTATTATATACGTTAAACCTATATAATAAAATAATAACGATGACTTCATCAGATGTGCATACTATATTAGAAGCTTTAGAGGCAGTAAAACAGGATTTTACATGTGTCGTTTGTTTAGAAATGTGTAAAAAACCGGTCACCTTAAAATCTTGTTTTCATTTAATTTGTGAAGAACACTTCGAGAAATTAGACAAATGTCCTAAGTGTCATACACGCATAACAGAAAATGAGGCCTTTAAGGACAACAGGTTGGAAGCTTGTGTTCATTCTGCTAAAGAGCTAGATAAAATGTTTGCCCCCTTAAAAATGAACTCAAGTACGTTACAATCGTCTAAGGTAGACGATAGCGCCACCACTGATGTAAATACAACAAAAAGTGCTAAAATGATAAAATCCAAAGCCGAAGCTAAAGAAAAAAGTAAAGCTTCTACAAAATCTAATAAGAAAATCTCAAAAATTGAAAATGTTAATATTGCAAGCTCATCAAAAATGAATAAGGCTCTTAAAAAACGTATTAACAAATGTGAGACTGCTACACATGTTACTTGCCCTCCTGAGGTCGGTAGGGCAGCGGAACTGCTCAATGAGGGTAACAATCCAAACCCTAATCCAAATGCTTCACTTCTATCTGTTGCAAGCTCTTCAAAATTGAGTAAGACTTTTGAAAAACGTAACATTAAAGGTGAGACTGCTTTACATGTAGCTTGCCGTCTTGGGAAAGTTGATAAAGTGGTAGAGTTGCTCAATGCGGGTGCTAATCCAAACACTAAAGATAATGCAGGGTGGACACCCCTCCATGAAGTTGTCCAGAATGGTAGACTTGACTTGGTCAAGTTATTGCTTCAACACAACACTCTCATCAATGTGCCAGGTCAGGGTAATGAAACCCCGTTACACGAAGCAGTGAGATACAATCATAAAGATATTGTTGAAGAGTTAGTTAAACATGGTGCTCATTTATATGCAAGAAATTGCAAAGGCGAGACACCTGTACAGTTAGCCTCTAATGACATTAAAAAGGTATTGGAGGAAGCTGCTGAAAATATACTACAAACGCAGGGTGCTAATGTGACTCACATATCTGAACTTCAAACAGAAGTTGATTTCGATGACATAAAGATACACTGTATCTCACAATTTCGTACAGTTCACAATAAATTAAAAACATTATGCAAACATCATAACAATATGCATATTGAGGCAAAATTCACCAAAAAGGTTACACATTTATTAGTTGACACCGAAGATGATGGAGTGTGTTCACCTAATTTAGATGTTTTACAGGGCATAGTTTATGGGATTTGGATTTTATCATCTCAATGGATAACAAATTCTACAGAAGAGAAATTGCAACCATTCACGATGTATGAAGTGAAGGGAGTTGGTTCTAACAAATTCAATGGCCCTAAAAATGCTAGATATAACAAATATAAACAGCTTCCTGGCCTTTTCAATGGTTGTCATTTTTATTTGCACAACTTCATCACTAATTATGAAATTTCTAAATCTATTATCCTGAATAAAACAATTCTTTCGAAATTAATAACTGATGCTGATGGTATTGTTCTCAGACGGGTTCCGAACCCTGAATCAATTCCAGAGGCAGAGAAACTAGTGCCATATCATGCAAAGAAGGGTGGAAAATTGGATATGTGTTCCCATTACATAATTTTCAAAGACATGTATGAACCAATGTACAATATGAAACACATCAAAGCATTGCCAGTTGGTTGGTTAATTGAATGTATCGAGAAATATGAGCTTTGTGAACCTGAGTAATATTAGAAATTAGTTTTATCTTGGATTTCTTTATTTAAAATTCTAAATGCTTATTTGAGTATATCATTACAATGACAATCTAAGGTCTTATTTATAAAATCTGTTATGAAATATTTAGTAGCATTTAAAAAAAAATTATAGTATAGGGTGACAAACGAGTGCACAGTCCACCTGATGGTAAGTGGTTATTTGAGTCCATAAACATCTTCATCTATTCTCAATTATGAATAAAAATGCAGATGCGTTGTCACCAGTGAGGACTAAGATGGAATGCCTCGTTTCCAGTAAAATGGGTCTCCAGTTCTCTACACTTACCATATGAAACATAGCAGCATGGAGCTGCAATTTTTCAGTGAGAGCGATGTACTACCCCAATCGAGCTGACCAACTCATGCTACAGTTACACTACTAATATAGCTGTAGCATGGCTCTACCTCGTAAACATTACCAGGTTAATTCAAAATGTCATTAAAGATTTTACGATTGCTTTTGCAGCGTGTGTGTGTAAGGTGCGATTATGTTAGAGAATTTCATCTCTTCATTATCGTACTGTGAGTAGGCAGTACAGTCGCCTATTGCGGAAAATGCCAGAAAGATTTGATGGCATTGATACAATGGTAGATATGGTGCAAAATGCTAATTTATATATGAACAGGAAACATAGTAGATGGTATAACGTGGTGTATGCACTAGATATGCCCTTTAATAAAGGCAGTCTTACTGTGTAGTGTTGGGTTAGAGAATTCATCATCCTGTGTGTCATAAGAAACAACAAAGGCAAACTTGGTAGAGCCAAGCTACAGTACAGTAATACGGATGGGTTATCTTGACCGGGGAAAGAAATTTTAATTATGGTGAGTGAGAGAAATGGAAATCTTTTTTACTAGAAACGAGGCATTTCATCTTAGTCCTCAGGGGTGACAACGCATCTGCATTTGATTCTTAATCGAAGATAATTTTAGATGTCTATAGGTCACAGCATTCACTTACCATCAGGTGGACAGTGTGCTCGTTTATTACCGTTGTTTACGCCAGACATTGGACTATGACTGGCGACGGGCAGCATCAAAGGTGCGGAATGTCTGGTATTGTTATAGTACATCTGCCAAGCTTGAGGATTAAGGCAAAGCCTGACTACCAGAAGAGGCCCACGTCCAGCTGTCAACATTCATAGACTGATAAGAATATAATTTTGTGAGCATTGGAGCTACGATCTGCAAATCACCTGTCAAGTCTGCGGATTATATCATATCCTCCAGAGGTTTGGGGGCTCTCTTAGAATATAACGGTGGATAGAATTTAATGGTTTATGGACTGATAAGTATAAATTAATTACTAATTATAAATAAGAACTTATTAGAATTATTGCAGTTGCAAAGATAAAGTTTTGAGTTGCCAAAAGTTTTATTTGAATTTTTTTTATGAGTTTTAATGGTTAAGTTAACTAACAAACAGGTTCTCTTTGTAGTGTTTAATAGCATTATTATTTTTATTCTTTAATGTTGTGTTAGGAGTTATACATTTTGTGTTGAAAATATGAGTTAGAGTTTTAAATAAGATTGAAAATCTTTTTTATTAGCACCTAATAACTATAATAACTTGAATGTTGTATTAATTAAATCTACTATTTGAGGAGTTTGTCATCAGTTTTTCAGTGATTTATTACAAAGTGAAAGAAATTGATAACAGAAAACATTAAATAAGTTATGATTACATACAATACTTATTCTGTAGATAGTTATTACATCGTATAATGGTTAAGTTGTTATTATAATGTGTGATTGTAAAATGCAGTAAGAATGATTATTTTTTTTAGTTTAATAAAAGATAAATTAACTATGTTTTTTATTTATGTGTTTAGAGTTTAGACCATGTGTTACTGATAGTGAATAGTGCAACTACTGAATGATTGGAATCATATTTACACAATTTGTAGTTTTGTAGACATTATGATGGTTTATATCGATGTTAGGATCCGATAGGTGGTGCTTTGTTGTTAAATTCTTTTCCATATGATGGACCTAATCATTGAAGCAACCATTCCATTCGGAAGTTGGGGTCTCCAAAATGGCCATTTTGTAGGCGTCCACAGCTTCTTCAGGTGATGAAAATTCTGTCCACGCAATTTATTCTTTATTTTAGGGAAAGTATAGAAATCATTAGGGCTTAGGTCGGGGCTGTACGGTGAATGGTCTATTAATAATATGTTTTCTTGCTCCAAAAACTCTTTTGTTCCGTGTGCGGTGTAAGAACTCGCATTGTCGTGATGGAGGATGATGCGGCGGTTGCAGTTCTCTTTACGGAGTTCAGAAACGACCTGTGGCAAACAAATGCTAGCATACCATTCTGCATTAACCGTTCTTTGTCCCTCAAGAGGGATAGTCGTAACATGGCTGGTTTTGGAGACAAAAGTGGCCACCATTTTTTTTGCAAGACTCCGTGAACGAACAATTTTTGTTAGCTTTAACTCATTTTCGAACACCCAAACTCGTGACTGCTTTTTTGTTTCGGGTTCGTACGCATATATCCAGGGTTCGTCACCTGATACGATGTTGTATACGTTTGAGGATCCTGCGTGGAATCTTTCGAGAGTTCTGACGCACCAAGTAACGCGAGCCGCTTTTTGCTCTTCACAGAGCGAATGCGGTATCCATCGGGAAAACAACTTTTTACGCCTAATTGTTCATGCAAGATTATTTGTATTTGACTCATGCCAATGTCTAAAGTTGCCTGATTTTCGCGGTATGTCACATATCGATCTTCCTCAATCAGCTTACGCACAGCATCAACGTTTTCTTGGGTGACTGCAGTTTTTGGACGACCTTGACGGGGATCATCACTGAGCTTGACACGTTCACGTTTAAATTCAGCAAACCAGCGATAAATTGCGGTTTTGGATGGGGCTTCATCTCCAAATGCAGAAATAATCCGGTCAACATACTGTTTTTGTGTTAAACCACTTCGAGTCATAATAAATCATCGCACTTGAATTTTCTCGAGTCAATTCCATTTTCTCAACGACTAAACAAGTTTGACAAAACCTTATGACAAGACCGAGAATCTTTTTTTAAATAAATAATTGTTATCGATTTTTAAAACCAAAGAATGTTAAATTAAAAAGATTTTAATATGACAGGAACAGTGGAAATATTCCATTCCCGATACTTTTAGTGCAGCCTAGTAATACGCTGGATTAATATCAAAAAACAATCACAAAATTGACCCGGTATGTAAGTGGCACTATGATCAAGTTATTCATACATTCTATACTTGCTTTACACTTTTTTTTATAGGATAGCGTGACAAACGAGCACACAGTCCAGTCAGTGCACCTGACCTGATGGTAAGTGGTTGCTGTGGTCCATAGACATCTACATCTATCCTCAATTACGAATCAATATGCGGATGCGCTGTCACCCGTGAGGACTGAGATGGAATGCCAAGTTTCCAGTAAAAAGGGTATCCGGTTCTCTACGCTTACCATACGAAACACAGCAGCATTAAGCTACTATTTTACGCTGGTATTCTGTGAGAGCGTGGCCCTTCCCCGCTCGAGCCGACTCATTCGTGCTACAACAATTTTTTTTAATTAAGTGAGAGCAGCTATGCATGTCTAGGGAAAGAGACCAGTATCACTGCGACCTAGAAGATCTATTGTGATCGTGCTACAGCTATACTACCAATATAACTGCAGCATGGCTCTACCATGTATGAAAATGTAAGAATTAAGAATTGCATTAGAACAGAGTGAAACTCATCGCGCTGCCTACCGTATAGGGCAAAACGACTGCCGGTTCAGCTTGTAAAATTATAGGTTTTAGGTAATCTACCTAATATTATAGAATATATTGTATTACAATTTAATATTAATGAATGTAATTTCAATTGGGGTAGGAACAAAAATGTACACCATAAACCAATTTGCCTCCTTAATTAAGCAATATTTTTATTAACGACTGCATAAGTTGGAATTTTTCCTCAAAATTGACGGTGGTTCACCTCACTGCCTCGGTAAGCACGTAAAGCCATTTTTGGTTCTACGCATGTTCTCTCAGATCGAATCGATTTGGGATCCCATCAATGTCGTGGATCATCGGAGTATTAGAGTTAGGGAATAGAGTGCACCTTTGCGTACATACACACCTATGTATCCATATATACATAACCATGTACTGCGCATACGCTGCAAGTACCTCTATAGTAATAACCAGCCAAGTGCGAGTTGACTCGCACACGAAGGGCTCCGTACTATCATAAAAAATGTTCCTAATAAATAAAAAGGGGGCTCTTTAATTTTTAATTTTAATTTTTGTTCTGTGTGTGTTTGAATGGGTCCCTAGATTGTTTAGATTCACTTTTGGACCAGGTAGGTGGCGCTGTTGTCGAGATCCAGAAATCACCTGTGCGAAGCCGGGGCGGGGCGCTAGTTACATAATAAAAATAGAGATAAGATAAAGATGCGCTGTAGTGGTGTCGTAAGCGGTGGTTTTAGGAAAATTTTCTAGAAAGTTCATGGATGGTGTTGCCATACTTAAACTTCTTCGACCAGCGACGAGGCAGCCTCAAGGGTGTGAGTTTAGTACTGTAGCCAATTTGCCAGGCAAGTATAGTGATTTATACAAATCTTCTCTATGTAACGGGAGAGACCACCAGCGGTAAACCTTTACAGGGTAAAAAATAATCTCAAGAAATTTACACTCTTTTTTTTACGCCTCACACTTTTAGAATAGAAATAGACACAAATATAAAAATAGCTTTTCTCTATAACTAGTATCAACTTCTCTAAGATGCAGTTTACTTATGTCCTCCAGACCTTTCGGTTACGGCGACCTGTCTCAATGCAGACGTGCCATCTGCGCGGATCGGGACTATAGTGTCCAATTGTATTTACAAGCAAGGCGCACTCTTTATTTCCTCGCTCTTATAGACCAATGGGTCGGTAATTCGACATAGACATGTGTCAATCATTCATTTCTTGTGACCGAATCATTCTAGTACATTTCATCACGCATACCGGTACATTCAAATGGATTATTTCGCGCTCCAGTCCTCCAGTACCCTACACTAAAAACAATTCATTCAAAACATTCGGGATTCGGTCGGTTTTCGACTCATTCATAATTCACACCAATCACGAGTTAAAAAGGTTCCGTCAATTGTTTGGTTATACCGGAACAATCAATTAATGAACCATCAATACTTTTAAGTGTACCAGCTTAAACGAACGAATCATTCATGATTGGCACATGTCTATTCGACACGACCGAAGAGAGATCAAGAGCAGGAGCAACGGTTTTACGTGCTTTCCAAGGTACGAGGTGGAACACGGTCAACTTCCTAACTTCGGGCTGTTACTGAGAATTTCTTTTCAGAAAACTCTATAACCAATTTTGACCCGATCCGGGATTTGAACCCGGGACCTTAAGATCATCAGTAGCGTTTACGACCACTGGACCAGCGCTAGTTCAATACACAGAATTAGTAATAATAAGACAATGGAAATGTATTAGCGCTCGATCACTTCCAAAACCGATGCCGCCACATTTTAACGTATTGTAAACATACGCAATGCACAATGATATCTTTATGTTTCACATTACATTGCTTGGCGAGTTTGTCAACGTCGCGTATTATGGTACGCTTGCCAAGCCTTGGCAAGCGTACCATAAAACGCGACATAAGGATCGACAATCGCAAGCATGTAAAAAGGGCCTTTGGCTTGGCTTGCGTGGGCTTGTGCCTGCTTGCGTCCGATCCAGTCGAGTGTCGGTTTTTTTACGCAGATCAAAGGGCGTTTGCGGCAAGCGCTTGCGATGCATTTACATGTTGGTCCGCGTTTAGTAGCCATTGTGATCTCGCGGCGAGTACACGCTTGCTTGATTTTACAAAAAATAAATAAAAAATAAGTTGCTGGTCGAATGAGGAGAGTCTTTCGTTTCTGAAACATTACCAAATGGAACCATGCATCTGGAATCCGAAAGATGCAAATCATAAAGATAAGAAGAAACACGCAGATGCATGGATTCGTCTTGCTGAACTTACTGGAAGGCCAGTAAAGGAAATAAAAAATAAAAAGGAGATATTGATGACAACTTTTCGCAAGCACTTGAAAAAAAAAACGTGAATCTATGCGTTCTGGCGTAGGTATGTTCCTACGATACATTTATAATTATTTTGATAGTCTGCTTAGCAAGGTGTAACTTATGTTTAAAAGCGTTGATTAGTTTCTCGATTATTCCGCAACTATCTCGCTCTAATTTTCGATGTTTTTATTTTATTTTAGGTGCCGAAGAAATATACAATCCAACTTGGTGTGCTTACGAAACCATGGAGTCATTTTTACTACCAGCATATACTTGCAATGAAGGGATAAACACCGAAACAGTAAGTAAATAAATTCATTTATTCTAAATTAAAAAAAACACCGTTGGTTATTATACCTACATTTATTTATACATTTTTATCAACTTATCCAATCCTATTAAAATTTGAAGTAAATTCTTCCCTGACTTCTCTGGCGTTCACCGGAGATCTTCGTGGTATTTGTGGTAAATTTTGCAATGCATTATATTCGTCGTTATCTCTACGCCATGAACCAGGGGTAACCATATTTCCACTACTGTCATATACGTCAAACGAACTTTGAAGAGTATATCGATTTGAAGAACTTTTACTTGTTCTCAAAAAGTTATGTAGTAATACACAAGTCATCGTAAATTCCGTTACAGTTTGTGGTTCTAAATTGATAGGGCGTCTGAATATTCTGAAAACTGAGGTTAAAATTCCAAACGTATTTTCAACTACAACTCGGGATCTAGATAAATTTTGGTTAAATAACCTTTTTGGTAAGCCTACTTCATGGTTTTCAGGGTAGGGTTTCATTACGTGTTGACTCAACGCAAAAGCACCGTCAGCTAAAAACACGCATGGAATATTAATATTCGATCCTGGAAGTGGACATGGTGGTGGAAAATCTATCTTGTTTCTAATTATTCTTTTCCATAGTAAACAATTATTAAAGACGTCGCCGTCACTTATTCTTCCTTGACTCCCGATGTCTGCGAATACAAATTTGTATTTGCTATCCACTAAGCCAAAAGGACAATGCTAAAAGTTTTCTTATAATTGAAATACTCTGTTCCACTATGCGTTGGGCTTTCAATGACTTCCAATACACCTATGCAATGTGGAAATTTAGTCCTGAATCCTTCTGCTATATTAAGCCATCCTTCTGCTGTGGTGGGCATCTGTAAAAAGAAAGTAAATGAAGTGTAAGTTTAATTATATTATTTTTTTGCAGCAATCACAACAAATAGAAGAAGATACAGATCAGACAGAGGATGACCCTCTGATAAGAGACCGTACAAGTACGGTTACCACACCATCCACACCACCATCTAGATCACCATCCAGACCACCATCCATACAAGCTGTTACCAATAAACGTCGTCGCCCTGCTTCTGAAACGGCTGAAAAGCAAATGGCCGTGGCTTTTGGACAATTAACAAATGTTTTGGGTCAAAGGCAGAATGAAAATATACCTGCTCACAAAGACGATGATTGCGATCTATACGCAAAATTATTGGCTATAAAGCTACGTGAACTATCAACTGATGAACGAAAAATTATGATGTACCAAATAGATGGGTTGTTTATAAACAGAATCAGTCAAAAATAAAATGAGCGTCATACACCATACCCTCAATATTATTCTCGACCGTCGTCAATGGCTGGTGCATATTCAACACCATCTCCTCAAGTCATTCCGAGTCGGCCAACATCAGTTACTAGTGTTTATTCTGAACCTATTACATAACAACCAAAGTTTTTTTCCCTCTCCAAACACACACACTTCTTATTCAGTGCCAGACATGGCAAAACATATACCAACTCCAATAGCTCCAGCTCCGCCTACATCAACAGCACCCTCGTCATCTATTCGTATCATATCGGACCAAATCATCAACCCAGCCCCACGCGAAACCAACATTATAAACATGGCTATGTTGAATGCTTGCGAAGATTTTGATTCGTCGACATAATTCTAACTAGATCCTTTAGAATTTTATTAAGAGCTCGGCAAACTTCACGAATGATTATTGATATCATAGAGACAGATACTTTAAACAAGCAGTGAAGGCTTTTGTAAGAATCACCAGATGCCAAAAATCGTAGCGCAAGCAAGACGTAATTTGGCTGGTATAGATTCTCTGAAGTCTGTATCATGCTTGGATATCATTGGTGAAATTTTTTGCAGTAAAAACTCAAAATCAGAATAGCTTATTCGGCAGAAGTTATCAAACTCTCCAGATGGTTCATATAAAAGTTCATTAAATTTCTCTTCTATAAATTGTCTGTAACAAATAAAATACCGGGTGGCCCATAAGTCCCTTGAAATGTAAAAAAATAATTTAAAAAAAAAACTAATGACATTATGAAAAAGGTTTTAATTTTGTCATAATCCTTATAAAATGGGAATTATTTTTTGAAAATTACATCATCTAAATGTTATCCGTCACGATCGCGGCACTCCTGTAAGCGACGTTTAAAATTATCCATCACTGCGCGGCAAGTAAGCTCTGTAATGTTTGCCATTTCTCTTTGGATATTTTCTTTCAGGACGTCAATTGTCCGCGGGTTGGTTTCGTACACTTTAGTCTTAAGATAACCCCATAAGAAAAACTCCATTGGGGTCAGATCATGGACTACGTGGTGGCCAAGGAATATCTCCTCTTCGAGAGATCACTTTATTAGAAAAGTTGACGGACGACCGGCATAGCGACGTTAGAGGTATGGGCAGTTGCTCCATCTTGTTGAAACCAGGTCCGCGTATTGAAGCCTGGAAAATTCTGCAACTCTGGTGTAAAAAAGTCCTGGATCATAGCTACATACCGTTGTGAAGTAACAGTAAGCGCGCGGCCTCTGCCGTCCACAAAAAAGTAAGGGCCTATAATGCCATGCGCTGACATAGCCCCCAAACTGTCACTTTAGGGCTATGTAAGGGCTTTTGATGTTTGCGATTTGGATTTTCGCAACTCCAGTAGCGACAATTTTGCTTATTGACATGGCCGTTGATGTGAAAGTGAGCCTCATCAGAGAATAACACGACGAAGTAAAGCGGTTCAACATTTCATTTGCGAAATTTAGTCTGTGGATAGTGTCAGTATCTTTTAATTCCTGTACTATCTGAATCTTGTACGGGTGAAGATGTAAATCTTTCTTTAAAATTCGCTGTAACGATGTTCTGGGTAAGTTTAATGCACTGGAACGCTTACGAGTAGACTGGGTAGGATTTTCACGAATTGAGTGTTTCACTACATCGATGTTTTCTTCCGTCCGTGATGTCCTTGGTCGACCTGACCGTTGTTTATCCAACGTCTAACCACTCTCTTCGAACTTAATAAACCAGTTCTTAATCGTTTGAACACTTGGAATGTCTTTAAAGTTGCGTAAATTCTGATATTCTCGAAATTTACGCCGCGCAATGGTAGCCGCAATAGCGCACACAAAATGCACGGTCTGCACCGGTGAAACGCTCCATGTTTCAGTATATTAGAAAGTACTCTGTGGCTCCATAGCGACTGAATTCCCAGAAACCGTCGGTACTCCCCCCGCACCGCGCGCGCCACTCATGCGTGCCTTTTGTATTTTATTCGAAATTTACATTTCTAACGACTTATGGGCCACCTTGTATATCGTGAGTATTGTGGCATAACTCAACTGCAACAGATAATGGTTAAATCAAAATAGTAGTTACCTGGTACGACTATGATGAATCATTTTCATCCACCGTCTTCGCTGTCGTCGAGCTCTCCTTTTTTATTTCATTTTGCTTACATTTCAAATAAAAGTACGTTAAACCAAATGCAATAGCCGTCACAAGTTCGGTGTCCGCCATGCTTGGATGTATATTGCAGACTGACGCATTCACAAGCGTATAAACGCCTTTCAAACGCCAAACGAGATTTGTGGAGGCTTGGGACTGTTTGCAGTTTGCCAAGGCTTGGCAAGCGTGTAAACGTACCATTACGGTAGAACAAAAGCAGCAATGGTAACTGTCAATACAAAAAGTAATAAATGAACGTTTACAAAGTTAATGCCCGAATACTCAAACATCCCTCAAATATTTAACGGCTTCTCAAACATTTGAGCAGCTCCTAAACTCTAAATTCGTATTCTCATAATTAAATATTAAGCATCTCTAAAATGTAAGTGTGACTCAAATTGAGTTGTGCTTAAACCCTACTCAACTAAAAATTGGTATACTGAAACATCACTCAACGCTTTTTAGCTGTCAAATCAAACGTCAAATTGATTTAAGTCATAGAGGAAGTAAAGTACACGATATTAGTGTGGTAGCGAGGACTCTCAAATCTATTAAAAGAGTTTTTTATGTGCTAAATATGTCTGTTTCGTCGTTATCTTCTTTTTCGGACAACGAAACGCCTTCAGGAAGTCGAAGAAATGATATCAAGCTTGACGCTTTCAATAAATATGACGACAAAGAATTTCGTGCGCGGTTCCGCGTTTCAAAAGGAACTGTGTTACATTTGGATTCTGTATTCGGTAGCAAGATAAAACCTTTGACAAAAAGAAATAGATCTTTGCAGTCCGTGGATCAAATATTGATAACACTTCGGTATTACGCTACAGGCAGTTATCAACGAGTTATAGGGGACATGTTCCATATTGAGCAACCGTCAGTGCATCGAATCGTTCATAGGGTTACAGAACATATAGCAAGTATGAGATCTCGTTATATAATTATGCCATCTGCTGAGGAACGTTTAGAAGTAGCAAATGACTTTTATGTGATTGCTGGATTTCCAGGAGTGATGGGTGCTATTGACTGTACGCACATTAAAATTAATTCTCCTATCTCATATCATTAAAAAATTATAGCCACTCATTTTTATTAAATGTCTTTACAGGGGAGCTCAATCTGAAAGTTTCCGAAATAGAAAAGGCTACTTCTCCTTGAATGTGCAAGTAGTATGTGATGCAAAATTGCGTATAAGAAATATCATTGCAAGATGGCCAGGCTCTGTACATGATAGTACAATTTTTAATGACTCACCATTATGTGCCCAACTAGAGCGAGGAGATTTTACCCCTATGGTACTTCTGGGCGATAGTGGTTATCCATGTCGCCCCTATCTGTTAACCCCAATTTTAAATGCAAGGACAGAAGCTGAAGAAGCATATAACCGTTCACAAATCAGAACCAGAAATCCAATAGAAAGGCTATTTGGTGTTCTTAAAAGAAGATTTCCCTGTCTCCACAATGGGTTAGGACTGAAAACTACCAACGTTCCACCTATTATTGTGGCATTTGCAGTACTTCATAATATTGCGATTTCAAGGCAGGATGATGTAATTGAGCACGAAATTCCTTTAGCTATCATAGAGGAAGAAGTTATGGTACAACCCAGCCTTGAAATAAATCAAAACTTTATAGTGAGGACGTCATTAATAAATACATATTTTTCTGGTTAATTTTAATTTTATTTTAATATCAATCTTTTACAAAATAACAAATAAAACAAAGATCAGTCAAAAGTTTGCTGTATCAAAGTGTAGATTCATTGAAATATGGTAACTTATTAATTTGTATATGGTTAGTAGGTAAACAGTAATTAAAAAGCTTTTTTATGTCCACTGCTGAACTTCTATCTCCAAGATAAATAAAAGATTACATTTTCTTTGGCAACATTCTTTTTAGATCGTTGTTTAAGGTTTTCATACAAGTGTCGTAATTGTTGCCACGTTCTAACACCGCTTACAGCAACAGCGTTAAACTCATTGTACACGCAATCCCAAGCCTGTCGTTTCTTCTATTTATGTTTAATTTATTTATATTAATCTATTATTCTACTATATGTTGATATCTGAAATATGTAACACACATTGAAATATGAACAACTCTTATAATATTTTATTCACAATGTCAAAAAGGGCGTTCTATTTAGTGTAGTTTGTTTCATACATACATAAAATACATAAACACTCACGCCTGTCACCCAGAGGGGTAGGCAGAGACTACAGACTTCCATTTGGCACGATCCTGACACACCTCTCTCACCTCCTTCACATCCATACACCTACGCATACATGCTCGTCGGTTAAGGGTACTCCTAATTTGGCCCGTTTTCAATAAATCGCCAATTTGGTCGATAAATTTTCGCCTAGGACGTCCCTTTCCGACTCTGCCATTCACTTCTGCAACATAAATTTTCTTTGTCACTCTTTCCATTCATTCTTTCCACATGACCAAACCACCGAAGCATTTCTTTCTTAATCCTGGTCACAACATCATCTTGCAAACCACACTCTTCTTTTATTACACAATTTCTTACCCTGTCATTCAGTTTGTTTCAATTGACGATTTAAGTATTTACTTACTTTTTTATCAATTCCAATAAAGTGTCTTTCTCAGACACTGTGTAATTGCATCCGCATCTCTTCTTATTATCCATTGAAACGATAATTTGTAGTCAAATATGAATAATAAAATTACAATGATAATTTGTAGTTTACAAATGAACGAAACTGACACTGATAGCACGGCACAGGTCAGTAAAAGATTCTCGTTTCGTTTTAGGACGATAGACTGAGCGATTTTCACATAATTTTATACTTTGAAATGTACTTTTCATCTACAATATTTGTAAAAAATCA